TGTAAGTGCGCCCCGTGTCCCAACAACGCCAAGCCGGTTCTCTCTGGGACCGAGTGCAAGTGTGTTTGCCAGACAGGAACGTTCGGCACCAACTGTGAGATTCGGGCGCCTGACTACACTTCAGGTACCCGACGTTTTGAGTACCAGACTCATTTAATGCATCTTTTATTCTTATTCAAAATATTTTTTATATTGCCTGGCCACTGTGCCACTCTCTACGAGTAAATAACTTAGAGTGGCAGAAACAAAAAAAGAATCTAGCTAAAAACTTTTATGATACAACTAATCAGACATTTCACAATGTTTTGAACTGAAATGTAATTTATATGGTTGAAAACAATAAATAAAAAGTAACAAATATTTCCACTGAACTCTGATTAGCCACTAGCTTAACCAGGGGATTAGCAGCTAGCATAACTAGTGACTGTTTTTTCCACATATAAATCTATAAATGTATCTGTTTGACTTCAGGTCATATGTTGACTGTCCAACTACTTCATACCATTATAATTAATAAAGAAAAAAACTAAAGTATCAATTTAAATCTCTATGTTGAACTGCTTTAGCCTTTCAAGCTAATAGGCTAATATGCCTACAGCCTATTAGCTAATAGGCTAATATGCCTACAGCCTATTAGCTTGAAAGGAGGACAAACATTTAGTCCTGTTTGTACTGGACGGTTGCTTGTTTTCCACAGAGGTAGTGGACGGTTACTGGAGCTGCTGGGGGCCGTGGAGCAGCTGCAGCGCCTCCATGAGGCGACACCGAACGAGGAAGTGCGACAACCCTGCTCCCCTCAGAGGCGGCCAGCCCTGCGACGGTCCAAACAGACAAGAGGAACCGTGTCCCCTCTCCCTGTTTGAAAAGTAGGACTCATCTGGACTCAAGTAAAATGAACTATTTCAACCAGCATGTTTGGTTTTTCTACAGTTGCTTGTTGTTTGGGTTTCCTGTGCAGAAAAGAGTCGTGTGACAACGACGATGAGTTCACTGTGGGATGGAGGGACGAGCTGCCGCCGGGGGTGGAGGGCTGTTTGAGGCCGCAGAGACCAAGCCACAGCTTCCTCCGGGTAAAAATCACCTTAACTGGACAAAAACCATGTCTAAATTTAACAATACGTTTAATTTGAACCTAATAGCAATTTATAACGGCATATTAACGCCATTGTGGATAGAATAAAAGGACGAGTAAATTTAAGCAAAAAAAATCAGAAATTTTGAGATTAATCTTATAAATGTTCTAGAACAATATTGGAAATTTCTGAGTTTTAAAATCAAAGTTTGCTAGAAAAATAATCAGAAACTTTAAGATCAATCTCAGAAATTTTCTAGAAAAAACAAAAAACATTTCTGACCTTGAAAAGTTTAAAATTTGTTATAAAAAACTTGGAAAATTCTAGATTAATTTGAAAAAGAATCCAAAAAAACAACAACAAAAACAAAAACAGGGATATTTCTGAGTTTGAACAGTCAAATATTTGCTGGAAAGATTAATCTCAAAGTTCAAAAGTTGTTTTTAATTAATATCAAAGTTTCTGTTCTAGCAAACCTTCAACTTTTCAAACTCAGAAATTTCCTCTTTTTAAAAAAAAAAAAATCTTTCTATGGTTAATCTGAAAATATTTGACTTTTTCTTCCAAAGTTTCCACGTTTTTCTTTTAAAGGTTCTGTTGGTTCTAGTGGCCTTTATTCAAAAGTAGTTTGGCAGGAAGGAGGTTATGAGAGAGGGAGGACATGTGGCACATGGGCTGCGCCTCACCTCTGCACCACCACAGCACCCAGTTTCCACTTTTGAAGCTCAGAAATGTCCTTGTATTTTCTATAAATTTCTGAGCTTATTCTCAAAAGTTCTTTCTGTTTGTTTTCCTATATAAAATGGCCCCAATACGCTGCTGTACATTTGATCATTTTAAGGTCTCATAGCTGTTTTGCTTCATTCTTGTAGAAATCTAAACAGTATTACAGCTTCGGTGAGGATGAGGAGTTCCAGTGCTTCACTGGATTCGAACTGGAAGGTTTCCAGTTCATTAACTGTCAACCTGATGGAACCTGGAGTCAACCAAGAGGAAGATGCATCAGTAAGTCTGTTTTTTTACCGCATCGTTGGGAGAAAGTCAATGTAGAGAAACCAGACAGTCCCAAACGTTTACAGGTAAATCCAGACATTATTAGCCGTAATGATTTAAACATAAAATTAAAAACTATTCTAAAGTTCCAAAGATCATAAATTACCAATAGAAAAGTTTGGATACAATGAGAAATGTGGATGTGTCTAAATATTGCTAGTGATTTAGGGACAAGTCCAAGTCAGGTCTAAAGTCTTTGAGATGCTTTTACACTGAAAGATCAGCAGATTCATATGTTTCTCCACAGGAAGTTCCTAAAATCTGCCACCTTCTTGTCTTTAGGGAGGCTTTGTGTTGCTCCAGAGGTCCCAGAGAACATGGAGCTGTATCCGCCCAAAGCGACGTACAGAGTGGGCGAATCGGTTGGTTTCAACTGCAATGAGACGGGCCTGATGCCGATGCCAAGAGGCATCTACAGGTGCAGCAGAAAACTCACCTGGGAGCCTCCGCTGCCTGCAGACCTCCGCTGCACAGACGGTTGGTTAGAAACATTGAAGAGGCTCTTAAAATTGGACAAACTTCTGGAAAAAAGTCGTTTTGTTTGCTAGCTGTGAAGCCATTAGTGAAAGTGCTGAACTAAATGTCCCTTTTTGTCTGTTCAGAGGAGCCATTTGTTCCTGACGGCCAGTGCGGTCCAGGACAGAAGCGGCAGAGATCTGGCTGTGTCTGCGTTGAACGGGAAAGCTGTCTGTGGGTGAATTTTAGATCTTAACATGTTGCATTTTCATCATTTTAAAGCCTCTTCAGCTCATTGGTAGTTCTGTCAAAGATGTGTTTTACCATTTTTAGTTACATTTTTAGTTAACTAACTCTTTAGTTAGTTACGTTAACTCTAAATCACTAATCATAAATTAATTAATGCTAAAGCACCGCTCCAACATTGTATCTAGCAGAAGCTAATGCTAAATGCTAGGCGCTAAGTTGTCACCATGTGTCATTGACACATTTACATAAACGTCTAGTTACTTGAACAATTCTTAAATATATAAACAAACTTTATTCAACTGAAAGTTTACAAAACAGCCAAAAATTTAGCTGGAAAAATGAACTTAAGTGAAGCTAAGTGCACTAAACGTTTTCAAAGTTAGCAAAAATACTAAAGTCCTAAACATCTAACTACTTTGAGAGTTTTTAAGAATCAATGACCAAAATGTCAACACAGGTCAAACTTTATTCAACTGAAAGTTAGCAAAATGGCCAAGTTAGAGTTTATTTGTAAAAATTAATGTAGGCGTGTCCACCACTGGATAAACCTGCTAAATGTTGACTGACAGAACCTTGTTAGGAAGGAGAATCTAACAGAATGTAAATAAGTTTCTTCACTGATCTGAGCGTTCGCACGTCTCCAGTTCACAGTCGGCGAGTCTCTGCGTCCTGAACACAAACCTGGATGTCGCTGTGTCGATGTCGCTCTGCTCCTTCCACGCCGGCCGTTGCCACGGCGACCCACTCTTCTACATCGGTGAAGGCGTGTGCGACTCGGTCGAGCCAACCAAACTGGAGTGGGCCAGGTTCAGAGCCAAGATGTCGCCCAGGAGTTCGTTGCATGTGCCGTGCGACCTGGACAGCTGCTACGACTGGGAGACCTGCTCAGGTGAGTCGGTCTGGCGTCTCACGTACTGGGAAGTCTGGGAAGTGATCAAGCATCATGTCTAATGTTTACTTATGGGTTCTAGCCTCTAAGAAGTGCCAGTGCAAAGCTGCTCTTGACTGCCCCAGAACCTCGGACCAGATGTTCTGCGTGAAGCTGAAGCCGATGCAGATGATCCGAAGCATGAGTCTCTGCACTTTGGCAGCTATCACCTGCAGCGGCCGGGAGCATGAAATCCTCAACGAGGGCGTTTGTCAGAGCAGATGATGGTCCAAGTAAACCTGCCTGCAGCTGCAGATGACGATTAAAAATGAATGAAAGGTTTTTGAAGCTAGTTTAGTATGGCTGGTTGTCCTGAGTGTCAATGTTTGTGGGTATATTCAATGGATGGATGAAGGTAGTTATCCTGGCATTTAAAGCTCTATTTTACTTTGTATTGCAATAAAATTTTATATTTAAAAAATGTAGACATTTGTTTTGTTGACGAAGTGGATTCACACCAGTTTCCAGAAACTCTGGTTCCTTTGGGCAGGTGTGAATGCTAATCAAACTCTGGTTTGCCTACAAACAGAGGTCTGGGTTCAGTTAGAGTTCAAAGCCCTAATGTGAACGCCAAGCAGACCAGTGACCGCTCCAAAAGCAGGAAGTGGACTACAGAGCAGGGGATTCTGGGTAAATACAAACAAAACAAATGCGATAGCCTAGCGCTAGCTGGAGAAATGGTTCCTGGTTTTTCACCAAAGCCAAACCGCTAAAATCTGACGGCATTTCATTTTTGTTCATATTTTGTGAAGAAGGAAGTTGCACTCAGTGTGTCCTTCATTGTTTCATTGAGTAGTGCCCCCACAGGAGAGGAGGGGAACAAGTTGCTCAAAGCAGCTTTGAATTTTATAGTTTATGAAATTCAAAGTCCCGCTGTTTCTCTAAGGAAACTTGCTCCTATCGACACCCATACCTCAAAATTATGACTTCTTGCTGGGCTTTTATTTGTTTCTTTCATGACAGCAATGGGCTTCTGTAATCTTTGAACCATTATTGTAAAAATCCATATAAGTTAAAATAATTAATTGAAATGGCGTTTGCCTTGTTAATCTTTCTGATTGGCTGCCAGTCAAGTTTAGCTACTTTGCCCCTCATGCTAGCTTAGCAATTGCTAAACTAGCTGGAGGGGCAAAGGTGGTAGTTAGCTAGCTCTAATATGAATTAGCTTAGTTTAAATGGACCATAGAAACCATCCAGTTGCTGTTAAAGTTAAAAAAATGGATGAACAAATATAAAATAAATCAAGAGAATTAAAACAGTTTTATTAATTTTATAACAAAAACAATCAATCCAACCATTAACATCCTTATGGATGTACAAAAACAAAGAAATTTATCAATTTATTTGGAACGATCTGTTCTATTTACAGTTCAGCTGCTACGAAAGTAATAAATATTTACAGAAACAATGAAGAAAAGTGTCTGTTTACTGCGGACATTGGTCCAGACTGATCAGGCGGACAGTTTCGCCTGCGCACCTCCTGGATCCCACCTCACACTCCGACATGTTCGCAGTGCCGCCATCATCACCGGAACTGACGCACAGGGAGGCGGGGCCTGCAGGGCACTCCGACGGACTCAGACATGCGCATTTCCGCTGGGATTCTATGATTAAAAAGGTAATCATACTCAGCACTTTTGGATGGAAAATAATAAAGAAAAGCTTTAGGCGGGTTGTTCAAATTTCCACATTTGAGGTGTTTTTATTGATAATTCAGAGGAAAATTCTGTTGAAATAGTTTGTCATTGTGTGGCAGAAAATCTCAAAACGTATTAATTTCTCCCGATCGTGACATCATCGAGTAGTAAATGGTTAATAAAGTGTCACTATATAGTAGTTAAAGTAAAACAAAAATCCCAGATGTTATACGATAATAAGGTCAAAAATAATCAAAGAATTAAGTTATAATATTACATAAATGTTATGACTTTAATTCAGTCATAATATTATGAGAATATAGTAAAAATAATTCGAATTACATCTCTGTTCTCTAAATTGTATTTATTTTCATATCTTTGTACTATTTGGTTTGTCTCTATACTCCGTCATAATGTATATCTGGCACTATTGACATGAGTTTCATCAGACGTTGAGATTTGGGCTGGAAACAGTCCGTCAGATCTGAACATATTTACTCTTTTTTGTGTTTTTATAGAGCAGGATGTTCAGTAATCGGGTGTTTCACCTCGGCAGGTCGTCCCTGGTTTGCAGTCGCTGCAGGAAGTGAACGTTTCCTCTTCCGGTTTGCTGCAGTCCGTATCGGCGGCCAGCGTGAAGCTGCGCCCCAAACAGCGCAGCGCCCCCAGCTGGCAGACGCCCAACCAGAGACTCCTCGGCCCGACCCGGGAGCAGAACTGCACAGACGACCTGAAACAAGAACATTTTAAACCAAACACCCCGACTGGGTCTGGATCTGAGTTTGGTTTTAGTTCTGAAGTAAGAGACTAACAGGCACTCAGAGGGCATTTTACAGACACAGCCGGTTTTTCCGATCTTCTCCCAGGGTTTACAGTTCAGACCAGCAGGTGGCGCCGGAGAGGTGAGCAGCACTGCGGAGGAACAAGAAGGCAAATTTAATGAAACATTACAGAATCTAATGTGATTTATTTTCATTTATAGACCAGTGATGATGGTTTATCTTAGTCAAAGTGACTATTCTTATGAAGTCATACATAATATTACTCTGTAATATTATTAAAATATTATTCTTATTACTATTACTTTGACTTTATTCTTTATTTACTTTGTTTATTTTCTCTTCCAGTTTGGGCCAAATACTCTGTTGTTAAAAATAAAGTTGTCTGGGCCAAATTAGACCTCACCTTCAGAACTTGAATCACTTTGTGTCAAAATGAATAAATTCTCTGTAATAATCATTATATTTATCCGGTTTAAAGGTAACCTGTTTCTGAAGATTCACCTGTTCTGCACCGAACATCATCAGGAGACGGCGACCACTGCAGACTGGAGCTGCACCTGACCTCTGACACCTCGCCGTCCAGCTCTGATCCCATGGGACACGACAGGGACACGGTGTCTCCGATCTGGTAGGCATTTTTAATGGGCGTGGCTTCAACTAAACCGCCGATTTCAGGAAATCCACAAGTGGAACCTAGAAGAAATGTTAATTTCTACTTTTGCATAATATTTATGAAACCATCTATGAAAAAATAAACATCTAATAAGTGTAGAAACTGTTATAACTGAAATATTCACAATAAGCGCAGTACAAATCCTGAATATTTCTAAAAATGTCCACATTTTCATCTATTTGACAACCAAAGCTTCATTAATAAAACTTAATGGGTTTTAAATTTTGCTTTAGTTTAACCTGTTGGTCTCAGGTTGTCATTCACAATGACAGGGGTGTCAAACTCCAGT